ACTAGTCTGAGAGTCGAACTAGTTCTTCTGAAGGTGGAATAATTTTGGAGAACAATATGAAGCTGTGGCAGACAGGTCTCCCTCCATAAATTTGTTGTTTCATTATTGCTGCAGGCAGTGGGAACCTCAAAGTGACCATCTCATTCCTCCACAAAGGCAGTCTGGTCACGGCCAGTAAACACAGAACAGGTTGCTGGAAGCTGCATGGTGAAAACAGATGACCTGATGTGGGTGTAGCAGCGGAGGTAGAGATGGTGGAGAGAGTGAGGAATGCGCTCCTCAGACACGCTCTTGTGTGCGCACATGTACAATATGCGCACATGTGTGGAGGGGTTCGTGTGGCAGAGGTCTTTGAAGCCTGTAGGGGGTTAAGAGGGATGAGGGTGGGGTGGTAGGGTGGAGGAGGATGTATGGCCCCTTTGCAGGTTGGTTGTGACCCCCTCGGGGTCAGAGTGCATTCTGGAGACACTGGGGAAGATGTCTCCTTTGAGGAGGTGATTTATCATGGCCACCTGGAGTAACTTATCTCCCTTTTTTTCTCATGTCCTCCTCCTCTGCTCATGATGAAGAGTCTGTGTGAAGGTCTCAGCTCACAGATTAAATGGCTTCAGTGCTGTGAAGTCGGCTTTTGTGAAGTCGGCTCTTGTGAAACAGCGGTGTTAATTGGAACACTTTAAACCATGTTTTTTTTGTTTTTTTTCACAGTTTTATAGAAATGAAATTCCACTGTCAATATTTCTCTCTAATCTTATTACTGGTTACATCTGTAATTCTATCTCACATCGATTTACAGTTATCTCCTGATGGAAAAATGAAACCCATTATTATAACAATATTTTTATTGATTGCCTGCTTTGTCTTTCCAGTGAAGCACAACTTTAGTTGCATGTAAGGTTGACATCACACACCTATTTCTAGTGCACAGAACAAATCAAGGGTAGCTGTGATCAAAATGAATATTTATCAGGAATTAAATCTGGAGGTTAAGAGAAAACATTATTGTTTCATGGGACACATTTTCAGATCAATGCTTCCGCAGAGCACAGCGATACAGAATAGATATTAGACTACAAATGAAAGGAACAACTTGGCTTTAGTTTTCAGTTTCACAAATGTTAAGGTCACACATGCTCTGAACTCATCCTTACTCATCCCGGTATGTGTACCTTGATTTAAGACTAAGCAACCATTCATTTACCTCATCAGTTCTCCTGAACTGATATGAAATGGTCAAATGCTGTCTGTTATTTGTGGTGATAATCATCTGTCAACCTTTTCACTGTGATAACACAGCTAAGTATAACACTTATCTCTCCCTCAGTTTTATTTGACAATGAAATGCAGCTTGCTGTTGTAGCTGACCTTATCCAGTAGTGTTTGATATAATACACGTTTATAAAAATGTGCTGTGTTTGTAACCTTAAAAAAGACAATAACAGACAATGTCAACCTTAGATCAGAGACCAAAAGAGAGGAGCAACACAGTCATGAAACCAGCAGATGATGTGTCGGCACTAATGTTTAGAAAAGCTGAACCCAAAGATGCAGATGGTGACGAGCTGTGACTGAAATTCTCTAAATGTAACTTCTAATTGCTTCAAGTGTGTGTGCGTGTGTCTGTGTAATATTGTCGGAGTGTGTAATACACTGATTCTCAGCGAGTGTGTGTTTGTGTGTGTGTGTGTGTGTGTTTGTCTAGGTTGAGGAGCAGCCTGTGGAATGTGTGGGGGATGTGGATCAGATTTCGGGGTGACCTTGAGTGTGCCCCGTAGCTGACACAGCAAGTCTGTTTGGTGTGTGCGCATGCACGTGTGTGTATATGTGTGTGTGTGTGTGTGTGTGTGTGTGTGTGTGTGTGTGTGTGTGTGTGTGTGTGTGTGTGTGTGTGTAAGGCAAAGAGAAGGAGAAAACAAAGCGTGGGAAATGATGTGTGTGTGTGTGAAAGACAATGGAACAGTCTTAGAAACTAATTAAATTAGGTAATTTTATACTTGGATGATTTTTATTTTATCAACACTGTGTTTTAGGAAGAACAGCTCTTTGTAAGGAGAACTTATACTAAGTGTAACAAAGATGGCCTCTCCCTCAAGACTCCTGCTGACTTAAAATCCTATAGCCTCTTTAATAGTCTGTTGAACACACAGGGACTCTGAAGTAAACCCGCTCTTATATACCAAACATGAAAAACTCTCTCCACACACACACACACACACACACACACACACACACACACACACACACACACACACAATCCCCTCTTTGACAACAGCACAGTCTTATCTTACTCAAAATCCAAGAAAAGCGACCACAGTCTGTACATTTACAACACAATTCATCTACCAACCTTTTAAAAGTTTGACACCCGTTGGGCACAATCTTCTTTTGTCCTTTAATCCTATTGTAAGCTTGTTGGAGCAAATAAGTCATCTTCTCTACCAATATCTAATTTCGCCCATAAATAACTAAATTGTTTGTAATGTTAAGTTTGGTTTCAAAGAATAGATCAAAGCATTTTGCTCTAACATTTTATTTGCTGCATATGAAATTATAGGGGAGACAAAGATAATATGGAGAGGTTAACACTGATCCCTGCTGTGCACGTCTAAGGCAGTGCTTCTGTCTGATTTCAGTTTTTCAGGCTCGCTCTTGATCGTCAGTGTGAAGGCTGTCGATCACAGACACGGTCTTCTCCCTTTGTTTACCCCAAAGCAGGATTCACTGCCTCTGACATCAGCTTTTCTGTTTTCTGGTGACCTACAGCTGTCTTCTTTACTCACTTATCGCCTTCGTAAAAAAACAAAACAAAGCTGATATGGACAGAGTGTATCTGAAAGACTGACAAATTCATGAAAAATTCCTTTCTTCTGTTTTTGAAAGCACACTTGCAGAGCAGATAGACAAACCAAGGCCACTGTGAGGGAGGATCAGAACACCTCCACAAACTTCCCCTCTGACAGAAACAGTAACACATCAGGTTGGAAGGACACAGAGTACTACTTAAAGAACAGTCAGTGTGTTTAAAGTCTTATCACACTCTGATTCAGCCTTTTCATCACGTCCCTTTTTCAATGGCTGGCTGGCTTTCAGGTTTTTGCAAACTGCTTAGATCTACCTCTACCTATTATAATAAAACCCAACCCCATCCACAGTGGTGGGAACCTTTTGCTTAGGGAAAACAAACTCAGAATGTCCAATGTAAATGAACAACACAGTGGCTTGGTTATTACTGTTCTCTAAAATCCGCAGTGGATAGAGCAGAGGACGAGAGAATCTTACAGACTGTGTGAGAGTGAGAGGAAGACGTCCATCTCATGTGGCACAACACTGTTCAGTTCTCTGACCGCAGAGGTCTTCAGGGACGAGCTGCTGTCAGAACTGGTTTTAATTCTCCACTGGTGGAATGTCTGCACCTTCAGTTACTTGATAATTAAGGATAAAAAAATGTAGCACTGCAAAAAATACATCTTCACATCAGGCATTTTTACTGTCGTCAAACTGTCGTCTGAACATTTTCACCACAGCAGATTGTTTAAAATAATAAAATGCCAAATCAACTGTTATTAATTATTATTTCTTTGGAGATATTAGCTTATGCTTTAATGTTTTTAAAATTCCACCTGATCATGATATTCTTGATGAAAGCTGCATCTGATTTTTACAATCACATGTAATCCATTCGTGAATGAATATTGCATGAATCTATTTTCCTCTATGACTTGTCTGTTGGTTTATGCAGGTTTATTTGCCTGCTTGTTTATTTTACTTTTGTAAAGCTGAACACTTAAAGGATAATATTGTTTATTTTCAGCCTAACTTGCGTCCCCTAGTTTTTACTTCTTAATCAACATTTATTTCAACAGTTACACATTACTCCTGGCTGACCGTCATTTAAACGACTAAATAACTCAAAAACGAAATTCCCTTGAACTTTGTCTGATGTTCAGTGGCAGCTGCAAAAGTTAACACTTTCAAGGATGAGCAAGTCTGGAGCAAAAATATTTATCCTCCTCCTGGTTTATGTGTGTCCACCTGTACCGTATCACTGCACTTGCCCTGGCTCAGTTGTATATGTTTTGTTACAGGAGTTCACAGCAACTATTGCCTGCTGGAAATGTTATTCTTCTCTCAGCAGATACATGCTAAAGACTCACACACATCCAGTTAGCTGTGAATTATATACTCATACATATACACTCTACTTTTTATCTTTTTATACATGTGTTAGTATATATGTTTTAAAGACCGAGACATTATGCATAATATACAATATAATCATTCAACAAGTTTATTTAAACAATTTTAAGTTGATTGTCAGATCTGTTGACAATGCATTCTACAGCATCAGTAATAGACATTAAGAAAATTATTAATTATATTATGAAGCTCAGGCTCTGAAAGTTTTGTATCTGGGCCAAATGTGGTAAATACATTCTTTTGAATATTGCAGCAATGTACTGCACACTCACAGACACCTCTAAACACTATGCACACTATGCACACTCACTCTAAATACAGTGGCACTTGCAGGCAGGCACGCACAGATACACACACATATACACAAACAAACACAAGTAGCACAAAGACTTCTTTCTGGTGAGTAGTGTTATTCTGGTTCCAGACTTCATGCAGGTACATTGAGTCCTGTCCAGAACAGCAGGGCTGCTTTCAGCACCACATATTCATACTTTCTGTGGATTGCATTGCCATGGAAACAGTGCCAAGGAGCAGGCAGAACTGATGAATATATACATACACATATACACATACTTACATACATATATTCGAAATGAGATTACATTGAAATGAGCAGAAATGTTGTTTGGAGAATTGATTTATTCTATCTTTAATTTTCCAGAGGTATGTGTACATAAGTTTTACTCCTCTGACTTTGCTGAAACCAGAGAAGTGTCCAGATGTTTTGTTCTGCCCTGGTGTTAAACCTCGACTCTCTCTCTCTCTCTCTCTCTCTCTCTCTCTCTCTCTCTTTCTGCACAGCCAACATGTTGGACACCATGCTGAAGAACGGATGGAAGGGGGGATCGGAGCGAAGGGCGGAGGAGGGCAGCAGCACAGTTTCAGCTCAAAACATGCTTTGGTGCCACTGCAACCACCACTGCCCTGACAAATCAGTCAACAACACTTGCATGTATGGTGAAGCACATAAAAATAGCACTATGAAAATAACTCTCTGTATCAATGCTGTTAGAAGACAAACACTAATTACCTGATCTGAAGTACACAAATGTTTACTTTAGCTCCATCCTTTAATGAAAGCCCCTCAGTCCTCTTGCAGGCACAGCTTATTAGCACCTGCATCAGCTCAGCCATTTGCATTGGAGAGATTTATATGCAAAGTGCATACAGTACAATCGTGTTACAGACATCTAGGTCCATATAATAAATATATATTTTCATTATAAAATGTAAAAAAATACATATCTAAATGCTCAACAATGTTTATTAGACCACAAGGTGACATCTTCAAATTGTTTGTTTTGCACAACAAACCATCTAAAAGTCCCATTAATTATCACAGTGTAAAATCCCCAGTTCAGACTTGACCAACCATGAAGATGGGCAAAAGACAACAGACCAAAGACTGTATAGTTTTAACAAAAAATCTTGATGTTTTATTACATTACTTCCAATAAAAGGAGTGTATAAATAAGCTAAAACAGCTAGGGGAGTTAAGAGTCAGTTGGATAAAAGGAGATTTGTACGTCTGTGGCTGGGTGTGCTCAACTTCACTTTCCTGCATTTGGCACAGCCAAAAACTATCACACCAAGCACTGTTGAGCTGTTGCTGGTCACAGATTCATGGCTGGTTGTTCACTGCACTCAAAATCAGGACGATACAGGTCTACCCTGTTTCAACAGCAACATCTGGATGTACTTTGAAACCACTTCCAACCTTGATTCATTAAAATCAGTCTAATCTGAAATCTCTCTGGCAAAATGTTTTGGTTCCAGTACGCCTACCTGAGTATTTATAGTTTGAGAACTTGTCTTGCAATAGACAAACAGATCTGATAAACATTTAGTCTCAATATGTAGATTCAGTATGGGATTCAAAGTAAATAAAATGCTATTGAACCCGAACATCGACAGCTACAGTGACGAATACAATGTGTGTGTTTTGGCAGGACTAATGGTTACTGCTTCACCATGGTGGAGGAGGAGGAGGGCGGTGTGGCTGTGCTCACTTCAGGTTGTTTAGCAATGGGTGGCTCCGAGTTCCAGTGCAGAGTAAGTCAGCTGTGGTTGTGTGTGTTTGTGTGTGTGTGTGCCTGTGTGTGTTTATATTCCTCTCTGGATGAAAACTTCAACATGCCGGTGTATGTGTGTCCTCCTTCATGAGCCATTGTTAAGTCTTTATGAGCTTTCCTTGACTCACTGCAGCTCTTTATGAGATGTGTTTAAATCACACTTGTCCAGCCCGCTATCTTTACACACAGTGGAAAAACCTTTGGTATACTGTAAAATGTTCTCATTGGGAATAAGTGTGGCTGTAAATATTTGTTACTCTTGTGTCCTCATTAGTGTGTAGAAATGCTTGAGGTTTATCTTTATGTGTGTGTGTGTGTGTGTGTGTGATAGGACACAGGGATTTCACGTTTCAGGAGAACTATCGAGTGTTGCACAGATCAGGACTATTGCAACAGGGACTTACATCCCACTCTTCCTCCAATCATGACATCAGGTAAGACAAACACACACAACCCCACACACAAATTTGCTCACACAGGTTTTCACACACTGAAATCCTGCCCCACTTTAAAGCACGAGTGGCTCTTAGAGCGGGCTCATTCAGGCCATGCTGGGTGATGATGGGTAGTGACAGTTTAAACTGTTACAAACCACAGTGTGGTGCCGGAGTGAAGTGGCACATGCTGCTCCGCTGGGGGAGAGAGAGACAGAGAAGGAGAGAGACAGAGAAGGAGAGAGAGAGACGGAGAGAGAGGGCGAGAGGGGCAGGTGAAACAGAGCCTGCAGGCTTGGCTTGTTCTCTCACCCTCTAATGAAAAGGACAGCCTCTCCCCAGGGCCTGCTTGAGTTTCTTGCCTCAGTACGGATGTGAGATATCTGTCCATCTGTCACTCTGCAACACACCGACACACACACACACACACACAGACACAAACATTCTTTCTTTCTCTCTCTCTCTCTCTCTCTCTCTCTCTCTCTCTCTCTCTCACTCCCAGTCTCTGTCACACACACTCACCATTACACTTTTACACAGCCTCACATCCTTCGTTATGCCCTTCAAGCAAACAGTGATCAACTTGATTTGTCAAGTCAGTTGGAGAGAAATAAAGAATGATTCTGGTTTTCTACAACTTCGGGCTTATTGTCATATAGTTTTGGCCATCACTTCTATTAGTTAGGATAACACTGTAATCACCAAAGTAATCTCTGAGATCTGAGAACAAAGTCTGACGGGCAAGAAACAAGTGGTCAGGTGATCAGACAGGTTGTAAACCAGTCAATAGTTTAGCCAAATTATCGAAACAACTTTATTTAAGGGTGAATTTAAAGTGCGTGCACCTGAAATATAGGTAATAACCCCTCATTGCGAAGGAAAACCATGCACAAGGACAGAATGTACTGTTCTTCCAAGTTTAACTAAAATTGAAGTTATCCTTTTATCTCAATGAGCCTGCAGGGAGTTCATAAGACACTTTGCAGATTTTCTTTGTCCGCTAATCCTTCTTACTGTGTGTGCAGTTCTGGTCTGTGCACACCATGAAGTTTCCTCTCTTCATGAGTCTTTTGTTTTGTGCGAGTCTGATTGACAGGGGCACGGCAGAAAGGCTAGAGCCCCAGAGCAGCTTTAGGCCTCAGGGGTTTCTGTAGCGACGTCAGTGTGACACCTGATATGTGGGATTCAGGAAGGGGATGCGATCGATCTCACGCTGGGGGGGGGGTAGAGCAGGGTTAGAGGGAAGAAGGGGGGGAAAGGAGCTTGTCCCTGCCAATAAAAATTAGATTGATGTTGGATTTGATAACAGTGAACAAATGACTGTCACCATCTATTCATTTCTAATTTTATCAACTTTCCTTCTTGCTCAGACCAGGATTGCGCAGGTTAAGGATAAAACTAATCAAAATTGACATGCAACTGATATTTTAAAATCTTCCCAATATTTATTTTTAGATTATGTGGACAGCAGTATCCAGTACATGGCTCTCTTCATCACAGTCACAGTCTGCAGCATCATCCTCGGTCTCATCCTCGTCTTCTGCTATGTCAGGTGAGAAACTTGAGGATGACACGTACCTATCAACGAAGTCACACTTCCTGATGCGCATTTAACATTGCATCACCTTTCTCTGCCAGATATAAGCGGCAGGAGTCACAGCCACGCTACAGTATTGATCTGGAGCAGGATGAGACCTACATCCCCCCTGGGGAGTCTCTGAAGGACATGATAGAGCATTCCCGGAGCATTGGGTCTGGCTCTGGGTCAGGACTCCCTCTACTGGTAAGAAAAGAACAATGCACATCTCCCTCAACACCTAACGACCAAGTCTACATTACATTAATATATTATTGCATTACTACATACTTTCACCTAGATATTGTTGAAATCCTATTATTATATTGCTTTAGGCCAAACATATGCAAAATTATGATGAAAATAACCCCATTCATTTTGTCTGGAAAAAAAACTCTACATTAGATTAGAAGCTACATTACAACTATTCACACATGAAATGTAGTTGATTTTTGTTTTTATCCCAATTTGCTTTGAATAACTTTGCAGAATTTTGCAAAGCAATAACACCATTCTCCTAAAAGTTAATAAACAGTTATAGTTAATTATGGCATAATTTTACTTTAGCAGAGGGCTCACATAACATCAAATGCTAATTTTAAGTTGCGTCCATGGTAGCACAGCTAAAAATACTTTACCAAGTGACTGCAATGATGATGTGCCAATTATCTACAATTCTGTTCAGATTAAAGATGTAAAAAAAAAAACTAAAAAAAAACGTGGTTTTAAAGGGAAATGACGCAATAAAACACAGATTTGTTTTACAATAATTTGTTGCCAGGTGCAGCGAACCATCGCCAAGCAGATTCAGATGGTTAAGCAGATCGGGAAAGGGCGATACGGAGAGGTGTGGATGGGCAGATGGAGAGGAGAGAGAGTGGCCGTCAAAGTCTTCTTCACCACGGAGGAAGAGAGCTGGTTCAGAGAGACTGAAATTTACCAGACTTTCCTGATGAGGCATGACAACATACTCGGTGAGGGAGAATTAATAAAATAAGGACTGAGTGAAGTGTTGATCATTCAACACGAGCTAAAGTTTTTTTCCTTCTCTGGGTTAGTTTAGGGACTGAGTGCAGGTCAGTGAAATGTTCCCAAAAAGACCAAAACTATGTGTGTTATTATCTATGTGCTTGTGCATTTCTCAGCCCTGTCATCCCTACTTTCCAACCCTTAGGATTCATAGCAGCCGATATTAAAGGAACCGGCTCGTGGACTCAGCTCTACCTGATCACAGACTATCATGAGAATGGATCCTTATATGACTACCTCAAGTCCAACACCTTAGACGTCAAGTCTCTGCTGAAACTGGCCTACTCCTCCATATCAGGCCTCTGTCACCTGCACACTGAGATCTACGGCACACAGGGCAAACCGGCCATCGCGCACAGAGACCTGAAGAGTAAAAACATCCTGGTCAAAAAGAACGGATCTTGTTGTATAGCAGACCTTGGGCTGGCTGTCAAGTTTAACAGGTAAAACACTGAATTTTGGACTTTTGAACACCAATTTTTAATACCGTTTAGAAGTATCTTGTACATTTCCCAAACCATGCAGAAATACGCTTAACCCTTTTCTATTCTTCCTTGTTGCCTCAGTGACACTAATGAGGTGGATATCCCTCCCAATCTGCGCGTTGGTACCAAGCGCTACATGCCACCTGAAGTGCTGGATGAGACCCTGAACAGGACCTACTTCCAGTCTTTTATAATGGCTGACATGTATAGTTTTGGTCTCATCATTTGGGAGATGGCGCGACGTTGCATCTCTGGAGGTCAGGGAAAAACTAATTTAAACATGATCTATGTATGGTTGTGTGTTTTCTTAATGAGCCCACTGATTCCCGCTCATATGTGATTTTCCTGCAGGCATCGTGGAGGAGTATCAGCTGCCTTATCACGACCTTGTGCCCACTGATCCTTCCTATGAGGACATGAGAGAAGTTGTCTGCATTAAGAAACAAAGACCTTCATTTGCTAATCGTTGGAGCAGTGATGAGGTACTGTAAATGTTTTTCAATACCACTCTACAATTGCATAATTTTAAGACTTAAAATGTTGCAACTAAAATGTTTTATTAACGGTTAATAAACAATTCATTGAAGTTTTATAGAACAGTAACATATGGGATTGTAAGTGAGCGAGTCATGGGTCAGGGGTTTATCACTTGAAAACTTGCCAAACATGGTTGAACATCCACTGGAAGGATTGGTCTTAAAAATGTCTTTTTGCTAATATTTAATTATTAATGATTTATCACTACTTATAAACTTCCCTTATAAAGCGTGGTACTTATATTTCTTTTATTTTAAACACTAGAGTTTAAAGTTTGTTAGAATATTTTTATATTCTAATGTATATGTACGTGTGTCTACAGTGTCTGCGACAGATGGGGAAACTGATGTCCGAGTGCTGGGCTCACAACCCGGCCTCTCGCCTCACAGCTCTGAGGGTGAAGAAGACCCTGGCGAAGATGTTAGAGTCCCAAGACATCAAAATGTGACAGAGCGTCAAGAGAGATGCTCTCATCACCTAGAGACTTGTCACTGCCAACGGCACAGCGCCACTTACACTGGCCAATAGAAGAAAGGGAAAAAATAAGAGTCTGTGAATGATAGGACAAAGGAAACTGACAGGGAGGATGAGTGATGGACGTAATGGTGGACAGGGAGCCAGAAAAATGAGAGGCAGAAGATTTATTATGTCTGGGGAAATCTGACCTCCCATTGTCTTAGTCACCTCTGCCTCAGACAAAGCGTTCAGGTCGTGCTTTCTGTGAAAGCTGAGTGGTTGTCGGGTCCAGACTGTCCAGGTGGGCAGGCAGACAGGGACCCTCGCAGGAGAGGAGGACTGAAACCCCTCTGATCAGTTCAGTACAGAGGAGGCTCCTGGTCTGCCCTTCGAAAGCCATATAGCAGTATTCCATGTGCAGTCTTTTGTACCGTCACAGCTGCCTTCATGTTTTGTTTTGTTTTGTTTTTTTGACTCAGTCACTGCATGCTGTAATATCTTAGCAGACTGTAAACTGTCTTTCAGTTCACTGTCAATTCCATTAATTGTGACTGTCATCCATCCAAAGAAATGTCTAATTCATGCCCAGTGACCTCAAAGATGTAATTATTATTATTATTACTATTGTTATTATTATTAATATTATTACAGAACAAAGCAGAGAAAGACTAAATTAATGAAAACACAAACAGAATTTTCTATATAGTATTTCAAAGTACATTTTATTTCGATAAGAAGCCCTCTGGGTATTAGATCATTGATGGCTTTGTGAACTCATTGTCCTTCAAGCCTCCAGAGCCGAGACATATTAGGCCTTGTTCTCCCTCATTGTCTCTACTTTCCACTCGCAATTCATTTGTAAATAGTTGAGCTATTGATATTGATAATTATTGCCTTTCTGGATGTTAAAATATGTTTTTGATGATTTCTGTGTACAGAATACATCCCGTCCACTCTACCACTATGGCATGTGCCTTATTTAATCTGTACATATGTGATTATGAGAGTGTACGAGTGGATCTGGATAACATTCCCCAATAAAACAACTGTGTCTTGAAGGCTTGTCTATTTATAATCACCCACGACTGTAAGATTTGTGTCGCTCCGTCACACAATTCAGACAAAAAGCTCCTCGTTCAGCCTTTCCAATGTTGCATATAAATATAATTTATTATTAGTCTTAAAAATTCTTTCTTACACTTTGTACAATAACTTGACAGATGAAATGCAAGCAGTTGCGCGGAACATCATGAGTGCCGGAAACAGACAGGCTACATTCTCACTATACACAATAATAATCATGAAGCTGAGGAACAACTAGGGAATGCAAAGGCTAGCCCACTGAGAATGTAAAGATTGTTTCAAAAGGATGCAAAGTTTGCATAGACGGCTTTACGAAAACTGGGACAACTGCCATTTGAGAAGGAAAAAAAAACAAACGAAAAATAAAAACAACAACCAAGAACACTTGAACAGTCACAAGTGCTGCTGCATCAAAGGAATGTTGCATTTTACAACTATCACTAATTTTTATGCACAGAGTCAGTGTCATCATAATATCAATGGCTTCTGTCATTAATGTACAACCACAGAAGTCTGAGTCAAAATCTCCCATTCTCCTCCAAAATCACAAATGAATGTCACTCAGTCCTGAACACAGGAAATGACACTTTTTGAAATGACTTTCGACATTTAGATGATCACTTTGTGTATTAAATTTAACCGCACACACTGTATGTCAATTATTTGGTAAAAAGCAGTTGTATTCAGTTGCATTGGTCCTACAAAAATATACTTATTTGATTCCCTTTTCTACAGGATCTACCTCTCATCTCTGCCTGGTCTCATTCACATAGATGATGTCTTGAACAACACACAAGTCATCAGCATCAGTCATGAATTTTAGTCAGTTTGGGAAAGTAATGTTGATCGCCTTCTATCTAGGGGCAATAGACTGGTGGAATTAGCCCAATGACTTAATAAAAAAAAACATGCAAAAAACAAAGGAAGTAAAGAAAAAACAACCAATTCAACTTAGGGAAAATATTTTAAAGACTTGCAACTAAATAAGCACATACTTGAAAATCAATAATTATACAAAACATGAATTAAAAAGTTTTCATTTTAGTTACGACAGCAACACTAAATCTGTAAAATGGTTACATCATTGATTTCCTTCTGTACATGTAAGTGTGGCTGACAGGATGAGTCATTACTGTAAGAGTCCACCAGGGGGTGCTATGATACAGTCAAACATAATGAAAGAAGAAACAAAAACGTGAGGACACTACACAGTATTCCCTAACAGGCAGCATAAAATACAAAAAAAAAAAAAAAAGATATGTATAAATAGGCATATTATTAAATACAATGTTATCACAGAACACATACTCATCCATGGAGTTGCTATGGAGACGGATTTCTGGAGAGTGAGAGATGCTTCCTCTGATCCAAGCCGTGCTCCTTGGATCCTTTGACCTCTGATTGGGTGTCACTATTCAGACTGTTGGCATGGGGCAAGGGCATCATCCACATAGTGCACACAGTCCATCCAAATAACCGGACAGCTGATTCCAAGGAAACCAGAGCCGAAAAATATCAAGTCGTTCTACCAGAGAGAGGAACCGCCAGAGAGAAATGACTGACAGAGAGTCTTGTTTACCCTCCCAAGTTTTTAAACCCCTTTGTTGCCAATGTTTAACTGGGTCATGGCTGAGTAGACCTAGCTGTCTCTATCTTCTTACTTCTTTGAGTGTACACACACACAGACACGCAGTGTCTATGAGTGTGTACGTGCGTTTGTCACTGTGATGCCAAATGACTCTCCTGCTTTCAGGCACCCCCCCCTCCCTCTCTTATTTTCTTTTTATGTCTTCTTCCTCCCTGGAATGTCACACTCCCTGGTGGGCAGATGTCAGTGCTCAGTCGCTGCAGGAACAAGGCTGTCATGGCGTCCCATCTCCTCTAGTACCTGGGCAAGGCGACTTAGATTGCCATCGGGGAAATGCTGGGCTTCCCACAAATCCAGGATCACTCCCGTAGGACTGGATTTGGTGGCAAAGTAGTTAAGATACCTGAATGAAAGATTGTGACAAAACAGATGTATAACAATTGGTTGATTGATGGTTAACAGAGAGGAAAGGGGTTACTTGAACTAGACGACAGGTGCCGACATCTGTACAGGTATTTTCTAATGCAAATCCATTTCTCCCTGTGGTTACTGACCTTTCTCCTCAACAAGGAAACAACCTAGTCACAACAGGAAAGCATTTGTATACGAGCACTGATGTATATCCCTATGTGTTTGTGGTGTGAGAATCAGTGGTTATTTTCTTCCTTTCTTTTTTTTTTTTTTTTTAGGTTTTCCACTAATATTACCCAGATTTTTTTTTTTTAAGTGGTCAGTCGGCTTAAACTGACTTTCATCTGAATTTTTATGGTTCCTGCGGCAAGACATTGCAGATTTTTGTAGTTTACAGTACTCTGCAGTTCTCTGCAAAGCACAAAAAATAAAAACTGATTTATAAAAAGTTAAGAGAAAAGTAGTGATAAAATGCAAATGAGCTGCTGATTAAGCACCAGAGTCCCTTTAAAAAGGTTAACTGAGTGGTTATGCTGCAAATGATATTTTTAAAATCCTATTTTTCACACAGATGTTTTTTAATCTGTTGACCCAGTTTATGGTATTCAAAATAAACACTTGAATTCCAGTTCTTTTTATCATCATTAATATGATAAACATTAATAAACATAAAAATGGAAAATAACAAGCCGTAAACTAGTGTTCTGTATGAGTCATCGGTGTAGGCTGTGAATGAGCTCAGTTCAAGTCTCTCCCCTGCTCTCGCCCTTATTTCCACGCCACACTCTGTCAGTGGTCTCGTCAATCTGCAGCTGCTGCCTGTGATAAGGCCGCCCCACTGAGCTGGGACCTTATAAATGGACACACACTGTACCTCCATCACACACACAACACTATCAAACACACGTGGGTGACGTTTTGAAAAGAGGAGCGTTATTCTATCTTTCTTTCTCTCTCTCTCTCTCTGTCCGGCTCAATTAATCTCATTTCAACAGATGCTTATCACATTCACAATCAAATAAAAAGAGATTCATTATCTACACTTTTATTTCCCCCTGTGATCTTGTTTCCTCCTTATAATGAAAAAAAAAAGATCTGAAACTTAACTTTTTGTAGAAGAGGGAGCTTCTGTATTTTTTCTAATTTCAAAAAAATAAAAAGTCACTCTTATTTCATCATTTCATCTCTTTCATTTACCCTTGTTAAAAGAAAAAATAAAAATATAAGAAAGCCGATGACAGCCTGTTCCTGTGGCCAGACTGTGGCCACTGAGAGCCTAAGCCTGAGTCACAGTCTCGCTCCTTTTCTCTCTTGGGCTGCCCTGCTCCTCTACCCACCTGTCAAGGTTAAGTTTGTGGGCCAACATCCTCCAGTCATTGCCCCTGGTCTGCGGTGCATCCAGGCTGCCACACAACTTCTGTCGGATGGAGACAGGGATGCGGAAGGCATTGGGCCCAACCAGTGTGGTGATGTTACTGGCGGGGTCCAGCAGAGATGTGTCAATACTCTGGGAATCCTGCAGAGAGAGAGAGAGGGAGAGGGAGGGAGAGAGAGACAGAGAGAGAGAGAGAGAGAGAGAGAGAGAAGAGAGAGAGAGAGAGAGGTTGAAGGAGACACGAACTCTAGCAGTGGCATTCTTTCAGGCTGCAGGCGGCATGAACATAATTTAACAGCATCTCACAAAACGAAACATAATGTAGCTCAAATTGATTTGTAGCACAGAAAATTTCTGGTTCTGGGTTCTATAAAAAGTGAAAATCATTCATTTCATTGCCATCCATTTATTGATGCAAGCTGAGTGATTTTCAAATATATTGCATCTGGAGGATTAAGCGCTGGAGGTCTGGCTACAGAAGCGAGAGCAAGACCCAGAGACAAATGAACCGAGGCCAGGCGGGGACACAGCTCTTCACTACATGTACTGTAATTTATCTCATTACTGAGCACAAAGCCTGAGTACTCCTCCATCCCTCAAGCTCTATTCTCCTGGCCAGATGGCCTTTGTGAAGCAAGAACAGCGCGACTGGAGGGTGATTATTCTCCCCTCTGCTCCTCTCTGCTCTGCATTGGTCTGTCATAGGCAGGACTATATGAAGGCCGCAGGGTCAAGACTCCATGTCTCCCATCCTGTCAGTCTTTGTGAGCGTTGCACAAAGAGGGAAGAGGACATGGGGGAGAGAGTAAATTCACTCAAGTATCTCTCACAATAAAGAGACAAAGCGTTGGAGGAAATACCTTATCTATGAATGTAAATTTCATGATGAAAAGAAGGTTCAAAAGTTGCACTGATCTTTTAAAGATTTTTGTGACGCATTGCTCATATCTAAACATGGAAAAATTCTTTCACAATGTCATGAATTAAATGGGGGACTTAAGTATCAGGCCATACCTCTGACAGTGTAGTGTCCAGCTGAAATATTTGCCCTTCTCCCTCCACTTGGCGCACACATATCTTACAGGCCAGGTCCACGGTGCTAATAGAGAACCGCTCCAGGGTAAAGCAACAGTGGAGGTTCCTCTGTGAACCATCCCACACTTGCTGAAAGGAAAGCTCCTGCAATTATGTGAAGGAGACAGAGGAAGTTACTCAGCTGTGGGAGACAGTGCGCGACACTGTTTAAGACTGAGTGTATGACTGGTTTACCTGGTACTTGGCTAGTAGTTTGCTCTTCCACAACGTGTGGGGGACATCATGGATGGAGAGTCTCAGGTTGTGGGTGCTGTCTTTAAAGTTGAGAGTCTTTGGTTCATCCAACAACTTCCCACCCATCTGCTTCTCCATCTGCAGGACTTCCTGAATACACAAACACACACTTTTTGCTCAGTATATGATACCATGCACGCTGACCTCAAAACAGTCTTTACTTTTCTACTTTTGTGCTGCTACCAACTGTTGTTGTACCCCCTGTTTGTTGCAAGCAGTTTCTTGCAACTGCTCTGATGGAAATTTACAAATGAAATGTTATTTGTACAGCATATTCACCACTTTCCCTCAGGGCTTTGTGAACCTCAACCTGGACCTGCTATCTGAAACCAGCTTCAATGTCCTTGCAGCAGGATCACTATCACTTCTCATTACCTATTTCCAAACTTAATAACCGTGTTCAATACCCCTACTCAGTGTAATAATCCTTCCTTATCTTTCCACCATGTAGGTAGAGGGTGGTATTAAACAGAATTGAGGTGAGGAGACAAGAGTGGAGTATAGGGATAAATTTGGCTTATTTTGTGTTGCCGCAGCAGCTACATCTTTCTAGCAGGAGCAGAGACGCTATTCAAATGCTTGTATCCCCTTATTGTGACACACCAACACAAAGATTTCTCATTCTGCCTCCCACACCTCATCTGCTAGCTATGCCTACACACACACACACACGCGCACACACATTAACAATTCAGGCAACTCACAAACATCATTAGTACTTACAAACACATTTAACTTCTCTTCTGCTACATAACCTCACGCACACACATGCAACATGCTGCATATTCACCTTGAGTGCGTCCTGTGTGTCATCCAGGCAGTAGACTCTAATGTGATACTCCATGGCAGGGCAGGTGACAGGGCCGAAGATGGCTAGTTTGAGGCGCTTGGTGGTGGCGGCGCTGAGAGATTGGCCCACGAGGCAGTAGGTACCCAGCGTCTCTGTCAGGATGTGACAGGCCTCGTCGTCCATCTGGATGTAGCATGGCGTGGTGAAATTTTCTTCCCCTACTACCACTATATCCTACAGTGTGGACGGAGGGAGAGGGAGAGGGAGAGAGAGAGAGAGAGAGAGAGAGAGAGAGAGAGAGAGAGAGAGAGAGAGAGAGAGAGAGGGAAAAGGTGTGCGAGATAATGAGCTAAAAGAGCCAGAAACAGTCAAAGGGTTTGTCATTTTGTGTGGTAGTGACTGCAGTTGGAAAAAAAAAAACATTATAAAGTGGACAAAGATGAAAACAAAAGAGGACATGATTAATTAGCATTTCGAATTAGCACACATCTGTCACTCTGGCTCTGTCCCACCTAAGTTCCTATGTCTGTTTTCAGTTCACTGTTACCTTCTGTGTCTCCAAGGCTCATTATCAAACTTATGTTCTTCTACATGGAATCCAATGCTTTTTCATTCCTTGAAATTGGACTATTCAATCTAAAGCACTATAAAAAAAATCTCTATGTATTCACCATTCAATGGAGATAATCAGACACAGGAAAATGAGTCCAATTTGCTGTTTTACTTTGTCAGAGAGTCATTTGAACAATTCTTTCCATTTTTGCTCATAATAAAATATATAGCAATATGCTGGGCTATTGCATCAAAGGCATAAAAACTAGCACAGTTTGTTCCCTAATTTAAATGTTTTGAAACTGAGCAGAATATTTTTAGTTTATTCATTTTTTGTTTACTTGACACAATTGATCTAGTGACTTTCTGTGTGTAAAAACAGTGTACTTTAAAACCTTAACTTGTCAGAGCTGTGATTATTAAAGTGGAATCATTAGTCACTAGTCACATGTATGACATTCTCAAATGGGAGATTAGTAGCTAATTCAGAAGCAGATAGGCGGTGAGGACCTGGTTTATCTAGTTTCACGTTTAGGTCTTTCGGTTCAGTTTAATCAAAAGTGAACTGAAATCAAATTTTATTTTAAGGCGGGAATTACAATCAGGGGTCACAGCCTTCTCATGTAAGATGTGTCCTCTTTGAAATTGCACTTTGTATGTGTGTATTACTCATGTCTAATACTCTACCATTGTGTATGTGAGGTAATGGAAGACTGAGTATCAAGGCCTTTTGCAGTTGACCCCTGTAAAAGCACTAATGCCAGGACATATTTCTCTTTCATTAAGACTGTCTGGTCTGAGGGGGGCTTATGTGCCCCACTCTCTCTCTCTCTATCTTTGCACTCTTTCCATCTGTCTTGATCTTGCTTTCTCTTTCTCTCTTACTCTGTCTTTCTCTCTCTAATCCAAACACTCCTGTGAGTAGCACACTGGCATTAATTCAGCCTATTATGAGAGACAGAAGAGGAATTACAGTATTTTATTGTGAGCTGGGCCGTTTAACAGCAGTATTATGGCTGATCATTAGACTCTTTAACTGCTCCTGGGGGATGGTACTGGGGCTCCTTATTGGGGGATAATTAGAACACACAGTGGAAAAGTAGGCTTTTGCTTCATACATATGTGTGCAGGCACAAACAATCAAACATGCAAACACACACATCCTCACACATGCACTCACACAGCATAATTTATTCACAAATTTCTGACTGCATCATCAGCTGGGATTTTTTTTTTTTTTTTTTAAAGGCGCAGGAGGATAAATCTCTGTAGCGCTACTGATGCAGAAAGTCCCACATGTTCCTCATTATATGACCTGTCTTCATCATCGCAACACCATGTTTCCTCAATGACACTGTGTATGCATTTGAGTGTGTGTGTGTGTGTGTGTGTGTGTGTGTATGTGTGTGTGTGTGCGCGTGTGCGCATGTGTGTGTGTGTGCGCTTCAACAACGGGGGAGGGGTGCGGCATCATGGATGCCAATGGAACTGATTATTCTCACTGGGTGGTGAAGACGATGCACACGCACACACACACACACACACACACACACACATATATATATATAGGCTATAAATATATATAATATGATATCCGTGGATTACCTCAGAGTAGCTCATCTCTCCTGTTTCTACTGCAGTGATGAACATATTTTGACAGAGCATGTCATATAAAGCAATATTTCACACATGCCGCATGAAGGCTGGCCTCAGTGGGAAGAGAAGCTCATATAAAAGGAAGCTGCCATCACCTTGGATATTACCATCTGCATTTCTGACAGGTCAGAGATGTAATCAATAGTTATTTCTTCCTTAAAAATACTTAGTTTACACTGAGCTTTATTGGCTGCCCCCAAGTAATTCATCAATGTCACAAAGGAATGTGGGGGCTGTCTGGCAGTTTTTTCTGTGCCATAAGTCATATCATCACATCAGCAGTGGAGACTGTGCAAAGACTTCCTGAAAATGATGTTATTCAAGCCACCATTCAATGATGAAAAGACTGAGGGCCATATATAGGATATAGGCTGTCATGAAGTAGTTGGATTTTCAATATGTGACTGCCTTATATTCCTGCATAGACTCACACTAGTGGATTTGCTTAGCTTTCCTCTGTGAGTAGTACCCACTTTGAATCTATAGCTCATTCATTTAGGCCATACACCTATGTAGACTAATATCCAAATCCTTAAAATAAACATTTTGTGTGCTGTATTGTCTTTTTACTGCTTGTCATTCTGCTTGCCATGCTAGGCTCTGCTGCTACACAAATGCTTCTGGTTTATTTTTTATATTTGGAGCATCTTTCCCTTTAAAAAGGTCTCAGCAAACTTCTGCCCATAAGAATTCTTTACGACCCACATGGAAGGAGAACTTACCCAGAAATGGTCTCCTGACAGATAAGAGAAAGTTGCTAATAACTGCCTACATAAGGTCTGTCGTATTATTATCTGAGGTGGACTACTAACAGAGAATTTTGGAGAGAGAGATGACAACTGGACCATTTCTAACAAGTTAAAAGCAGTTTTTGTGATGAGGGTAGTTTCTCTACAGATGATCTCCACGGTAATTGGATTGTTTCTGTGTGTGTAAGTATGTGTCTGTATGTGTGTGTGTGTGTGTGTGACAAGGGGAGATGAGAAGGAGAGAGGGGATAGGCAGAAAACATTCACACTGCTGCCCTCAGCAACCCAACTTATCATCATCAGCACTGTTAATGATGGAGCCTGCAGGCACAGGGCTTCCAAAAACACAAACACAGCATACACACACACACACACACACACACACACACACACACACACACACACACACACACACGCACAAATAGGCATTCATAAAAGTACAAGAAAACAATCTGGGGGAAAAACAGTCCCAGCCCTTTCCCTGCTATCACAGGTTTACCATTTCAGCACCTGGTTGCAACAGGGGTTTCCTCCGAGTGCTGAGCTGCACAAACAAAGCAGGGGAAGGTTATCCCCTCCACCTCCCACATGCTATTTTCATCTATTGTCCCATTCCACTTCATCATTGTGTTTTGCTCTTTGCTCAGTGCCAAGTAGAAGTTTCAACCAAATGCAGCATGGATTATTTAACTGATAAATTTCATCTATGAATCTTATTTTAGGCAACAAACACATAATTTTAATAGTTCACATGACTGTCAAACATTAGAGTCATGTGCACATTTTTCATCGTGCATCCCACATCTCACCTCCCACTGGTTCTGTTGTGACTGGCTCTTGAGCTGGATCAGCCAATCCTGTTGGCCGTCACACACGGCGCAGTGATGCATGGTGATGATGACGGGTCGAGTCAGCAGGGCCCCAGGGGGCCCGCAGCTCACCACGGGGCTCAGGACTGTTTGGCCATCGTCCACCGAGGGCCTGGAGGTGCACAGAGAAAAACACACTTACACATACACACACACACAAATGCTGTTTAGCGATGATGTGACAGCAGTCTTGGTGTATGTGTGACATGGCAGAGCTGACAGGGGTAAACACAGCTCTGGGGCGTTGATGTGGCAGGCAGCGCTGCGTACCTCATGTTGTCCTTCCTCTGAACCGTCACATACATCTCATACACTCTGCCCTGAGGAATGGCCCCTGCTGGAATTAGCAGACTCACCCCTGGGGAGCACAAAAACAGAAAGACAAACAAACAGGCATATATAAGAGTTGTGAGTTGTCAGTTTGACCGGAGGAGTTTTTCAAATGTTTAAGTCAGTGAGAGCATAGAGAGAGACATCAGGCCAGGACAGAAAAACTCTGAATATTTGTATATTTATATATTACATATATTTGTTTACATGGTGAATCTCAGCTACAAACCCACTAAGATATATCCAGCATAAATGGAATTTAATGGTTTACTGTTTAATCGTTTAATTTGTAATGGGCATATCTTAATGCAGTAAAGCAACAATAAAGAGCAATTAAAGCCCCAGTGACAAGTGGTAATTATTTTTCCTAAAGAAGTATAGCAATAATGCCAACTCCCTTCAGACCCAAATATAAAAACTATAGCACTTTACTGCCTTTTCCTATGGCATCAGGAAATGATGTGACATTTCATTTCAAAAATCAATGGTCTCTCTGCTCGTCATAGCATTCTCATATTGCTGCAGCCAGCGTGATTTACATTTTTCCATCTGAGATTGATTTGATATGATGTCCTGTCCAACGTGTTTTTTTTTAGGACCCAGCCCCCCCCCCGGTGTCCCAACATCGCCCTCATGCATGCACACACAAACACACACTGTTCCTCCGTCTGGAGGGATGTTTCTCAGATAGCTCATTGATTTCCCATGTCCTTGTACTGAAGTTTTAAAAAGGTGACAGACAGCTTCTCTTGCTAGCTAGCAAAGGCAATCACAACTCTGCCACGGGGACGTCTTGCACAGCACACTTACCACTCTCCCTCACAGCACAGCTTCAAAGAGATCGGAAATGCATTTTAAGATGCAAAATACCAAACAGCCCCACTGACAGTGCCACAAAATATTTCATTACCCAGACACACGAACGGATCAAATATCAAATGTGCTCTTTCCTCTCCCTCTGCCTATGTAACATGATGAGGTGGCTGAGCACAACCAGCAGCTTAGAACATTTTTACAGGAATCAAAACGAAAAAAGAAAAACTTAAGAAACTTAAGAAGTCGGTGTATCCTTTAATGTCGCTGCTAGTTTGTCTGAGCCTGTCGACATGCATCTGTGGCATGTTACAAGCAGCCCGCATGGTTTTGAAGTGAGGACAGCATGGCTAATGTAAGCTGACTGAAACAGTACACCTGTACTTCAGTACTCATGGTGCACACACCTCAGGTATCCATCAGCTCTAGTCATACTGTGTGCGGTCACTACGCTGATAGGTTACATATGGTTTAGCATATTGTTTCAAAGTCATGCCTGTGTGTATGTAAAGGTTATCCTGGCAGAGATGGTGAGGTATAAGACAGGCAGCTCGGATCTCATACATGTAGACCACGACTTATACTGTACACATACAGTGTTGGGTTTTATTCCATGTACTAAACACTGGAGCATTTGTAAATATTAACAACACTCTCTTTCAGCTAGAATCAAACATTAGAATACTCATGTTATTAGTTATGGCATATTTCACCAATACCACCAGTATTGATAAATGTAATGCTGTTAACAATTGGAGCTGCTATTGCTTGTTTGACATCTGATATCTGAGAGGGTTTTTTTTTTTTTAGTATTTTTTGCAAAGCCCTTTGTAACTAAGCTGTAATATGCCCATTAGCTGATGAGAAGATGGATACCACTCTAAATATGAATCTGCAGCCAGCTAGTTTAGCTTAGCATAAAGACTGAAAACAGGGGGAAAACAGCTAGCTTTGCTTTGTCCGTAGGTAACAAAATCTGCCTACCAGCACCTCAGAGGCTCACAGTTCTGTATCTGTATAAAAACCAAAGTGCAAAAATGATAAGTAGCTGTTTCTTGTCTGAGTTCACTGACTTCTTGGAGTCTTGTTGTCACTGTGAGGTTGCCAGGCAACCAGCCAAGAAATAGTCTAGGGCTTCAAGTGCCCATTTCATGGGATCTTTAAGGGTAACAGTTTGAAGAAGAACACCAGCCTATTATGAATGAATGAAGAGTGGCCCTTCAGAACGCATGGGAAGAGAGTGATGGATGGTCTCTTATTCATGTCAAGCTATACTGTGGAGAGCATTTTATCCTTTCAGTATGCACATGTGTGAATACACGCGCACACACACACACTATTGCTAAAAGCTTATGTAAGGAAGAGCCACTGAGTACATGAAAGCATGGAGCCTCTTTGATGAGTCAAAATTAATTTATTCTTTTGTTAAACTGTAATGTTTATCTCTGCATATTTTGAAATATGAAACCAGGTTGCCTGGTTAAATGGTGAATATGAACAGAACTACAGATCAAAACACACGTGTCAACACCTCCCGTTGTTGTCTGGTGCAGTACCTGAGTTTGGCACGATGAGGTGTCCCCCCTGGGAGCTGAAGGAGCCCAGAGCGGTGCAGGATGGATCCCTGGTGCGGAGCAACGTCTGGGTCTGCGTGCGACGACCCATCGTGCTGTCGCTGTTGTCCAGGAGGCAGTGCGGCAGCTTAGGTGACAGTTTAGAGGAGAGTTCCCCTCCCAGGTCATCCTGTGGAGTCACTAAGCCTGAGGAGTTGTACACCTTAATCTTCAGGTTGGGAAGGGGGTCCAGCAGTGGGGAATTAGTCATGGGGATTTTGTCAGCCACATCATGCAGGGCGTAGACTGGACCACGGTACATGGCGGCCGCTGAGGTCAGGTCAGGAGGTGCTGTTAGGAGATCAGCTGGAACAGAAAAAGAATTGGACATCAGTCAAGGGGAGCAAATGTCTAAAGAGAAGAACTGTGGTTATCAAATACCCTTTCCAGCCGTGAATGTGGAGGAACTGGTAACTTGAAACCAAAATAACCAAGAGAAAATGAAGTGTTGGCAGCAATCAGCGAGACCGCTACCTGGCTTTACTCATTTGTTTTTCACTCATTAGGAAAGTCCACTCCGCCACCAAGAAACATTACTCAGTCAGAGAAGTTATAGGCGCAGGCAGCTGTGATTCATCACAAACAGATGGCATCACTAACACTCACTTTACCCGGCAGGTACAAGGATGAATGTTCAATAGCTGGGCTGAGTGGGTGGAGCGAGGGCAGCGGGAGCTCTCTGTCCTCCAGCTTCTCCGCTCCCTCAGAGCCCTCGCTGTTTTCCAACATTTTCTAGATCATACAGATGTTTATGAAAGTCACAAAAGTTGTTCAAAGATAAGATAGATGGCCACAATAATACCTTATTGTATTGACCATCATTGTAAGTAGTAGTGCAGAAATTATAGTAGTATTTGTAGTAGTAGTAATGTTTGTTATCATCATTAATGCTTTATAAAACATCAATTACTGTAGGTACTGTGGCATAGGTGTGGTAACAACTTGAATTACTGTTATGCATCAAGAGATCAGTGACCATGATCACCTTCTTTACACAAAATGGGCTTTGATATGTTTTCAGATCCTGACTTCAGTCATCTGGTGCTGGAATCAAGTGATTTGGATAGCTGGAGGCTACATCAATATAATCATGAAATACATTTGTAAAGGTAGCCTAATAATTTTATAAAAAGATTCTTAAACCTGTTTAACCAAAGGGAAATCTGAAGTATTTTAAGTAATACGAACATGTACATGAAATTTGGAAACAATAACAATCAATATCCATCTTGGATTCTGCAATCTAAGTGCCTAACTTGCCTGCAAACATTTCTTCTTTGGCCTGGTGCTGGATTAGCAGTTATCCTTGATATCAGTGAATCTCACATTGACAAGGACAAAAACAGAAAGAGCACATTTAGCAAGGATTTTGGCTCTAAATACCAATTGAGCATTTGCTACCCAAACAATTAAAATCTTACTTTCCAGTTTCTGCTATCTGTCTCTGTTTTTTTCTCTTTTTTTCAGTTTTCCTTTTCCCTGCTCCCCAAACCCCAGACTATTTACAACACAATTACTGTGATCTGTCTGTTTCCCTGCTGTCTTTTTGCCCAGCTCACTGCCACCTGTCCTCATCCCTGCGGTCTTACTTTTAAGTCCTGCGTCACAAGCTCAAATCTAATTACAGTTTAATATGCGACATGCAGACTGGCCTTATTAGGCTTTAATGATGGGGCATCGTTTGGCCTCCCATCACAACGACAAGTGCTTTAATAGTTTCATTAAATCGGCCGCGCAAACGTACTGTCTGTGTTTCTCTCACAAAACTCCCCAGCGCATCTACAGTCAAAAGGGCGCATTTACATTCACATCATCACTAAGACACATGTGCTGCCAGAGTCAAACATATCCCACCAGGTTAATGCTGCTCTGGGCTGCTAATGCAAGTAATTCCCACGACAAAACAGGTGTACCACCTAGGGCTGGGTATTGAATCTTAATACTGTTTTTGGTGCAGGCTGAAATGTGTTTGTAGCACTGAATATTGAAACCTTCCAGAATCAAATGCCCGCTCAGATCTGTAGTCTTGTTTACTTATGCTTCAAACTGATATTTACTGATACTTAACATAACTTTGCCCAGTTCATTATATCTTATTTATGTAAAGTTCTTGTAAGGTGAGAGACATTTAACAAATTACTAACAAATTAAAAGGGTTATTTCTAAGCTTTTTCTGCTGGCGAACGTGGTTTCTTGGCAGGACTGGGTGGTGGTGATTGTCGCTTGACAAGAGTGCCGGACATTGTTGCGTTTCCAAGACAAGAGATTATAATACGCCCTATGAACAGTGCTACGTCTTCAGAGCAGATTGGAGGCTACAGTGAGACGCTATCGGAAAATGACGAGACGGGCCAGGGCTAGCTGGTTAGCATGCTAACTTCTGTAGAAGAGAAGACGTGATAGAAACAAGAGTTAACATTGGCGACGTTTTCCACCACTGGAGACAGCTGTTGGTGAGTAAAAGAATTAAGTTTGATGCTCAACGCGCAACATTTCTTCTAGACTGGTAAGTAAACAGCTGTTAATGCTAACGCTGGCTGTGTAGCAATAGCTAAACTTACAAATAGCTCCTTTAATGTGTAATTTTTGCTTTTGTTGTTAGGTGTACAAAAGGGCTTTTTTGAAAAAGAAGTTTATATATTTTAAAATAAGATATAGAAAAAAGAAACATTGTAGTCTGTCCGCTGAAACTCAAGTGTTGTGTCATCATCCCAGCCCTTGTCATCTGGTGTTCACTAGCTCACTCACTGGTGATGCAAGACACTCAAACCCGTATGAGCAGGAAAAACACATACACACAGAAAAAAACACATATACATATCTCTCCTGTTCCACACCTTTGCGAGCAGTCTTGATGCTGACTGGCTGGAAGCCACCATTGAGGGCAGAGGAATCAATGATGTCAGAGTCAAAGTCCCGGTGGTTTTTCCTGTAGATGAAGAGCGCCACGACGACAGAGATAACCAGGCACATGATCACCGCTATGACAATACCCACATACAGAGCTACATCATCTGTACTGGGGGCCACTGGGTGAAGGAGGGGGACAGGGGGTGTGGGAAGAGAGACAAAACACAGAGAGAAAAACAGTCTTTTAAAATCTCATAAGTTCATATCAACAGCGTTAAGCTTTCTTTCTCAATATGCAGGAGCTGTGATGAAGCCATTATCAGAAGACTAATATCCTGGTTAAAGATTGAGCCGGATATTAATAACCATCTACTGGGAAATAAATGCATACTGTATATCCCCTGTCTTTTTCTTCATTGAAGTTAATGCTGACCTGCTGTGACAATCAGTCTGTGTTTTTAATGGAATAACAATGTCAGAAGTGAGTCACTTTGTTTGAAACACAACATTAGGTATTTTTCACCTTTCAGCTTTACCACTTAACATTTAATTTTCACAGTTTTTATTTAATACAGCCCTTACTCACAAAGAAATCTGCCAAACATATGCAAGAGTTGTAACCTATGTCCATGTTTCTTTTAGGAGGCCATATTGTGTGTATATATATACCATGCATCATAAAGATAAGAATAAACAACAAAATAAAGATAATGATGACAAACTCTTTGCGCAGCAGTGCAATTAATAGGGAAGGCTGCTTCAGTGCAACCCAATGACACACTGTCCTAACAAGCAGGCTCAGAAGCGAGATCAAAAGTTCTGAAGACGGAGATATAGATGTTTTCATCTTCAAATTACCGTGCTCTGTGTTGGAGTTCAGAGTCTGTCTCTGTCTTTGTTCTTACACACTGCAGATAAGATCTAGACATAGCTTGCATTTCTCAAATTGTCTTTCATCTCTGTCTCCCACCCAGAGTCTTTCTGTCCACTCTCCAGCTGGAGAAACCTCTGTGATTACTAGGCCTGGCATGGATATAGTGGCTGTTAGAAACGCAGACTCAGACAGGCGCTCATTACAGATCAGACCTTTTAATGGATGCCTACTGACAGTCTGAACTCTCTGTGGTGTTTGGTGAAAAATGTCCTTCACTGTCACCAAGTTGACAAATGGGGGGAGAAACTCTTCTTTAGAGGGCATGTGTGAGCCTGTGTGTGTGTGTGTGTGTGTGTGTGTGTGTGTGTGTGCGCATTGTTCAAGGCATGAATACACACTGTAAATGTCAGGGGGGTTGTACAAAAAGTCGAAGACCAAAGCACGTAAGTGCATACTCATTAATAAGAGGGGAAAAAAAGGGATTTTGATAAGGGAATAATAATTTGAGTATGCAAATTGAACAGAATCTGCACCAGTAGATGGCAGCATCAGACATCAATCCATACACAGCACTTTAAGGACATTCATGATGGCCGAGCATTTGTGTAAATTAGCCTTGTGTGTCTCAGGGATGCAGATGGCACTCAATCTGTCACTTGCTCTCTTGCACAAAGGAGAATGAAGGAGTAGAGGAAAGAGGCAAGAGCAGAGTGCTTTTGTGACAAGTGAAAGACGCAAGTTGTGTAATTTTTTATCACATACTTGATATAGTAACTGTGTTTTTTCCCCAGCTAGTTATGACTTGATTTTCTTGATTGAACAAGTACATTTTTCAACACTTAAAATAGATTACATTTCATGCTTTTAGAAAATCTCTGCTGAATTTAAAAATTGGGTATGACCTTCACTGGGGCATTTCTTACAATGACAGTATAAACATAGTGATTAAAAAACAGATAGTTTCTTTAGTTTAAGAAGTAGCTGGATGGCCACAGTTTAAAGAGGCAGGAGATTTATTACTATAGTAATTTCAAAGGCTTCATTTCTCTTAGTTCCCAGGAAGGACATGTGTGGCCTGGTATTCTCTTTTCAGCCTTAACAGAGACATCCCACTTGGAAGGAATGACAAGATACATCCTCATATATGTTAGTCCTCTAATCCTTCCTCTAGCACAGACATGAACAGAAAACAGAACAGGGAGCCAATGATGAAAGTCTGAAAATGTAATTTCACTGTGCTCTCTCTGCCAAGCTTCCCCGCAGTTATTTAACATATATCCCCTCAGTCGAACAATCTTCCATCCACGCTTTGATGATAAAGGCAGCAACCTGCTAAGTGTACGCATTAAAATGTATCACTTAGATTAATACATCCCTTTGAACATGAGCCATTGTCGGAAAGGGAAAAGTACAAGAAATGGAAATGAAAGGGATTATTGAACACTCCATTCTCTGTGAGGACGCAGAGATTTACAGAGGGAGGGTGAGCTACAAAGAGACCAGACTCAGCGGCTGGGCTGACAGTGAGGCAAAGTGTCAGGATGAAGTTGACGAGGAGCAACAGGGTAAAGGGCAGTGTCAGCTCTGAGTTACAGAATAGTAACTTGATGGTGAACGGGCAGCCAGCTAGCAGAGACACATTAAGAGAAAGGATAGAGCAGAAATCAAAAAACAAAAGGGAAATGCCCTGAGGTGGTTGAATGTAAATAAAAAGAAACAAAAACAGAATAGTAGTAATGAAATGTAAATGGGCAAGGGAGAACAATGGCAAACATGTATTTCCATTCTGTAATAAACAAAGTTTTTCTTTTTCTGATGGTTTGTCTGAGATTATGTGAGACTGCAAATTCCTTGTGAACAACCTGCCCATGAAGTGATCACTAAATAAAAAAGAGACAAAAATAGACATGAGAATGAAGAAATTATGTAAACAAAAAAATAATAATGATAACAAAAAAACAATAACTCACATGAATTTCCCAAATCACTCTTGTCTTTTGCCTCAGAGGACTTCTGATATAAGGAACCTTGAAGAGAGGAAGGGATTGTGGGATGGGAGAGAGAGTAGGAGAGGTAGGGTAGGGTAGGGTGGTGGAGGGAGAGGGGTGATGAAAATCAAATTTAAGCCAACAGAAAAACAAACTCAACAAATGAGACAGCAACAAACTCATGAGTAGGAGTGATGACACAGGGAAGCGATCTTTCTTGATTTTGCCCCTCCTCTCCAGATCTCTGTACAGAGTATAGAGATGGATGAGAAGAGCAGGGGGAACATGGAGGCTCTGTGAGGGAGTGGCGTGATCCATCAACTGGGCTTAGTGCCTCAGCAGCAGCAGGACTGACGCTGGCAGGTGAGGGGAATGGAGGGGGCTGATAAAGTGTGGGCTCCAGCAGAGTCAATAGAACCTACAGCCTTGCATCTGTCACTGGAAGGTGGATGGAGAGGGTGGCGCACGGGATAAAAGGAACGATTATGTTAGGTAAGCAAGGAATGGAAAAAAAAAAAAGGTACAAGAGATTTGGAGGAAAAACTTCCAGCACTCCCCAACTGGGGCTGTGGTTGGCTTTTGTTGTGGCCAGGTAATATGTTGGAGTGATGTGGAAAGCAGGCGACAATGGCAGCCAGGGATAGCGCACTAGTACACATAATATTCAGTCTCCCTGGGACATCCATAAACAACTATACAAACAATGAAGTCCTTATTGGAGAGGGAGAGAGCCACAGGCAGACAAGTGGACCGACAGGAAAATCAATGGCTTGATAAATGGGGCTGGTGTGTACATGTAATCAGGCAACAGGGAGGCTTGGATGGAGCAGGGGGAGGTGACTGTCGGGGTCAGTCTAACTGATGGCCCATTTGAACCCATCCTGTAGAGTTTCTGTTCATCCTGACTGAGCGTACAGTATACTGCAGCAGGGTAAAGGCATGCTTCAGTGGGTGGGCATTATCCAAAGGGAACCTCGGAGAAAGGCGGACAAGAATTGTTCCTTACCGACAGCACAGAGCTGGGGAGTAAAGGGGACACGTAGAAGAAATCATTGTCGGTCTTTCAGTCATTACTTCTTTGAATATGGCAGATTTCCAACCTCAGGGAAAATATATTGTCATATGGCAAAACTGATGTCAACGTTTGAATAGCTTAAGGTTCATTTTTTGCATCTACTACCTCTTGGTTATGCTATATAAGTGAGATCGATGATTCTATTTATTTACATTTAAACAAACACTTAAACCACACAAAAATAAAGAGTAAATCACTTCATGTTCTTGGAAGGCTGAGGTGAACCCTTGAGTCATGATTTTCCAGTCTCTGTTGTTTGATAGCAATAAAGCATTTGCCCTTGCTGGAGTGTGCGCTCCCCTTTCTCTAGATCAATATGTCAAGAAAATGTCATGTCTGAGAGCAGGCTTACCAAAGGCTTGGAAAACAACATCAGAATCAAGGAAGACAGACCATAAGGGAGTGCAAAACAGAGATTTAGACAGGTGAGCCTCAGTGAAGTGTGAAAACTATACTCATGTGTTGAGAGTTGGGAAGTTCTGTCTGAACAGGCAAAGTGCAACCTCTCTAGATCAATCTGCAGATACTTAACTTTGTTAAGCCCAACCCCCAAACTCCCTGACTGTCTAAATGTGATAAAAAAGACACAAAGTAAATTATAACACAACTCTTTCCTTTTTGACTCAGGTCAGCAGAGTTTTTACAGCGGGCTGCAAAGGAGCAGCACCAAGAGTTCTGTTTCCAGGTCTGGTCATATCATATTGCTTTGCCAGATCTCTGCGATGGACTGCAATTGAAATGATTTAAATAAATTCAAACAACAGAAAATAAGATCAAGCTGCAACGGAATCCACAGACACGTGTTTGCTCAGATGCCAGCGCTGCACTGGAGGGAGCAGATCAACGGTCCAAGGTGAGTTCAGATTGCACACAACTTCCATTCCCAATCATATTTGCTATAATGTGAGCTTTTAGATAATGGGCCGTTCTCCTAAATGCTAGTGGAAATGGTCATTAGCATTGACATAAGTGGCTTCACCCTCTTAGCTTCCAAAAAAAATCAATCCCTGAAATGATCCTAAATCTATATCATTATGGCTTTATATTCTCTGCAAACTGGCCATCAATCTACCAAGAACTAATGCTTCTGTGATCGGCTGAGTTACAGGGGGCGTGCGGTGGGGCGGGGAACTGTGGGGCGAATACATGTTGTGGCGCAGAGGGAAATTAAATAAGATGAATAAGACAAACACGAGTAGGTCCTCTCATAGATTGCCCTCTGATCTTTATATACACTATAGACATATGACCTTGGCTATAATATCAGCTCATGCATTCCTCTGAATGAAATCAATGTACACTGAAGTCACAGTTTCCTGTCAATCCTCAGTACATATGGACACACAGCATGGTATGTATTTACTTTGGACAGAGACATGCAGATCCTTCAGGCAGCTGCATCTGAAGAAGCATATTGGCAGCCAATGTGATGTCAAACGAAACCTATAGTTCGTCATGTCAGCATATTACTGCAGGTGGCAGTTTACAACCCCATAGTGCAGCAAAAGCTCAGATCAGCTGCACACAATGACGGCCAGCTGTATCAAATTCTAGACTTCTAGACATCCTATTATATTATTAGTGTCACAATCACCATCTGTAGTGGGTTATACATACGACGGAGGCAGCTGTGACAATTTGTGAGTCTAACACCTTCAAAGATGTTTATTGGAGAGGAATTTTATGGAACTAGACACAGAGTTTAACTCAGTTACTGTGCAGTCTTTCCAGCTTTCTCCTTCTGCTGCTCTCTTGTTATTACAGGCACAGGGTCTGTAACAACCAGGAGACAAAGACTGTAGAGTAAGTAGATGAACTTCAGTGTATCAAACACTTTACCCAGTAACTTCTTAACAATGCGATGAACACACGCGCGGACACGTGCCCATCAGAGCAACTGCAGCATGATTCTAATCTCTGAATGTATTATAAGGGAGTGGGAGCAGGACTGTTGGCCCAACTGAACTGCGTGGCTGTTTTTAACTTGATAGAAGAAAGAGAAACAGAAAACAATTTGCTGCCTCCAGAAAAATATCTGAATTCACCACAGACTGGCTACTGCCCTTTTTTTTTGTTAGCAACCAAACAATAAAACCAAGAGAAAAATTGTGATTTATGAGAGGGAAATGCTGCATACTGGAGATTAAATGTAAAGAGTAAATGTACAAAATATACAATACTTGCTCACTTTCCAACACATGTAATTGGCAGCTCAGGAAAAGGAGCACGTCTACACTCGTACCACTATGTGGCTTCACGTTTCCTCTCATTAGACCTAAAGAATCCAGAGTTTTTAAATTAAGGTAGCAATCACAGCAGCTTGGTAGCTGTGACCCCCCCCTTATGTAATTACAATATAATCACTTATTATTATTTTAAATATAACTCCCAAATGCTAAGCTTGTGACAAGGATAATTACTTAGAGCGCTTCCCCATGTGGCCAAGTCTTTTTTTTTTTTTTTTTTTTAATATATACTTATATTTTCAGCAGAGCTGACACAGGAAAAGATGTGCGGTGGTTTCTGCTTTTATGTCACTTTCATCCAACGGCTTTTGTGTATTATGCATGTGCAAATGAAGAAAAACAGATCGAGTGAAGGAGACAGAAAGAAAGGCGTTTTAGCATGTCTTATCGTTTATGTATGAGCGAAGTGAAACAGAGTGAGTGAGAGACAGGGTGAGAGTGTTATGTGGGGATGTGAAACACAGCGTGGTGATGAAAGAGCAGAGTGAAACTCATGGTCAAAGGGTAAAGAAATTTCTTTGGTTGGCAGGTCAGAGAGAGTAGCAGAGGATTAGTCAGGTACTCACTCTGCATGCACAGCCCATCGGTGCAGTTCTTGGACTGGAGTACCATGCCCTCACAGTCCTTTCCACCATTTTTGGGTGCTGGGGCGCTGCATTCTCTCCTCCTCCAGTGGGTGCACTCTGTCCCACAGGTGGACCACTTACTCCACTCTGTCCACAGGCCATCCACTACCACACAACAGACAGGACAGACGAGGGCAGAGTGAATGAAATGGCAAATGAGGAGATGAAGACAAACCAGTGCATGAGTGGGTGAGTGGATACGTGATTGAGACAGCGAGAGATATGTGGGAGAGAGACACACGTAAGGGTGGAGGGCACAAACAGAGCGAAAAATGCAAACACAGAGTTGCATCATATTTTTTTTTGCATTTTTGCACCTAAACCCTTTCTACCCACTAATAAGTGGGTGGATTGTAATCTTATATGCCATACCTGGGCAGAGAGGATTACACGCCAGTTTCTGGATGCCTTGCCCTTCACAGATGGCTCCGCCGTTGAGTGGTGCTGGGTTGGTACAGCTGCGGGTGCGTTTCTGGTAACCACGGCCACAGCGACTGTTACACACTGACCACTCTGTCCATGTCGACCATCCACCATTCACTGGAATACACGGTAATAAAACATGTTGAATTATATATGAGTGCTGTTTATTTTCTCAGCTCTTCCTTAGATGGCTTTTATATTGCACGTTACACAAACAAGTGCTTTATAAAAGGGCATAGAGCCGATAAAAAAAACATACTGTAGATTGGGGTGAAATAAAATACATAAAAATAAGATAAGATTTAACTAAATGAAAATGCAGCAAAATGTGCCCATTATAAAAATGTGTGTACACTGTAGAGTTTTTTTTTTTGCGTTTTGACCCTGAGATCTCAGGTCGTTACTTTGCCACGCAGCCAGACAGTAAATTCTGGTCAGATTGCTGCATTTTCCATTCACTGATTCCTCCTAATGCCTCTCTTCCTCTCTCATCCATCTCTGTCAGCGACTAAATCCAGTGGAGAGTGACACCAGGGCTTGTGGCTGAGAACAAGTCTGTGGCATTTGAGATGGTGGAGCTGGGCCCCTTGGAGCCTCAGACTTTCAAATATGACATGCTTATGAGTGAAGCCCAAAATATTGGACTCTAGGGGAAGACCGCCAAAACCCCACATTTCTTTACTGTCTGCTTTCTTTCCTCCATGGATTATGGCTCTATCTTTTCTCTCCCTCTATCTCTGTGTCTCTCCCTCTTTTTTTTTTTTTTTCTCTTTTTGTTGCCAGCTTGTGCTCCTGTTTCCAGTGTCCTTGCAGAGGGTTGGGCTGCAAACCACTGGGCTAAAAACACACTGCCTACCCTTCTCACTTTTTCATCACTAGCAGAGACACAACTCTCCCTTATCCTTTGGGTTTCTCACACTGCTTTGTGGGGATGTGTGCGTTCACATACAGCACAGCTGTGCATAAATCTGCGAGGATCCCATTTTGGAAAAGAGGGATAAAGAAGCAAGGACAGCACAAACAGATGCAGTGGCTTGTGTTACTTTCTCTCAAGGATGAGTCGACATCAAAGCAGTTTTTCAACACTAAGTCCTAATAGACCGCGTTAGTGACAGGAAAGCGTTGCAGAGACAGCGACCTTTGTCCCTGAAATCTGCTCTCTTGGATTTACATTTGTGTTTCTACACCCGCCAATGGCCACATTATTCTCAGTGCTCACTTAAGTATAACTAAAGTTACAACAAACAAAACAACAAGCCATTTTCTCTTCATACAACCTATGCGGATAGAGTCTGTACGTAGTTTCTTCTGAGTCTTCCTGAAACAAGAGAGGTTGTGATGTCACTCAGTCCCCAAAGGTAGATCAGAAGTATCATGAGGAGTTCTATCAAGGACAGGGTGAACTCAGTCAACTAAACTATCAAACCAGTTGTCACTCCAAACAGAAAAGCAGTGTCTCAGGTTCAGAAGAGCATCTGTTTCATGTGTCATTTCTCCTGTCTTGAGTAGCCTCCAGCAGGCAGGCGTTGCTGCGCAATGACAGTCATGTTAGTTGATGTTGGGGAGACAGCGGGTGAGTCTGTGTGAAACCACAGCGGGGGACTCTTTAAGTACGGCTCAGCCACATCAGCACCTTGCTTGCAGTTCAGAAAAATCACAAATCTTCCATTCCTAGCACATCTTCCGGCAGGAACAAAATGAGTGCATGTTACATGCCACGGGAGAGAAAGGGATTTGCTTTATGCAGAGTGACTTTGAAATTTGTTTTATTTTGAGTTGAGCTGACTTCTTATAGGAATTCAACACTTTTCCTCCGCAGCACATTCTGACTCTGCTAATCTCTCATGTGGAGGATGAGTGTTTGCAGGTCAACAGATGTGATACTAAGATCCTACTGACTGTATCGTTCAGTGTAAGATAGTTTACCGTAGACGATAACTGTGGCGGTGGTGCTGCGTCTCTTGGCCACAATGTTCTTGGCCACGCATGTGTAGTTGGCAGTGTCGGAGAGGCGGGCCTGTTTGATGATCAGGTTGTGGTCGATGGTGATATAGAAGTTTCTGTCATCTGCGGGATCAATAACCTCCTCATTCTTTAACCACTCCACCTAAGAAGAAGAAGAAGAAGAAGAAGAAGAGGAGGGAGGGAGCACAACATGAAGAAGATGAAACACAGGAGGCTCAGAAACAACAGAAAAGTACTGCAAACAGAAGATGTGAGAGTAGATATAAGACATGCTTGACCTCATTAAATTGTAGAAGAATCACAGCAAAGTGTTTAAACAGCTGTAGTTTTTCTTGTCTCTGCCTAACTTCTGAAATAACACTGAGTGCAAGGATTACAGCACAACTGTTTAAGTCTCTGAGGTAATGCTAAAGAAAAAAAAAAAAGTCAATAGCTATCGCGCTCTTTTTTATTCTCCCCCTAGAACAAAGCACAACAGTCACAGCAGCACTGTCAGACAGCAGAGAAGGAAAACTCTCCGCGATTCGTGAAGCTGAGAGACTCTTTGACCTTTCCTTATGAGCTTCATATCCCTAAATGATGCTGATATTGAACTCTGGGCACTATCACGGAACAGGGGACCATTTCGAGCCTTTATTTGGCTGTAAATCACCAAGATCCTTTTTCCTCTTCAAGCGGTGTAAAAGGTTTGGCATCACAAAAAGAATCGCACGTGCTGCCTCACACTTCTGCGGCCACTTTGATTCAAGAATATTTCCCGGTTCTCTGGTTTTCTTCAAAGAAGCTGTCCAGTCATGAGGAGGCCTGGCAAACAGCTAACTTCCTGTGTATTGTGATATCCCACGAGGAGATAAGAGATAAGACACCAAGGAGCACAGTACAGGCAAAAGATAAGCAGGATGTTTATAAAGGGTCTTTCTCATGAGAGATAAAGTATCTTTAAAAAAAAAAGGAAAAAAAAGTGGGGCAATAACCTGATATGAGTCCCGACAAGACAAAACAGTCTGTGTTGTTGTTGGAGTTTTTGAAGAAACAACACAGAAACAGCACGTAGTGGTGCAGACATGTACGACACACTGGCCATTGTTAGAACTTTCTCAGAAGAGAAGACGGGCTGATTGTGACATGCACTGGGTTACATGCATCACCAGCTTCACTAGTGTCTGCGTTAGCTTGACATGGCAGATATCAAAAGATGCCATCAGCGTCACACCTCAGCGAGGTTTGCCTCCTCTCTTATCCAGTGGGAACACACAGAAGAGGCTGAGAAGAATATTTTCAATGCTTCACTTCACAATTATTTCACACTTAACCTCTTCAGACCTGTGTTTTCTTCAAATCAATGCACTGCAACACTTACATCGCAGCACCTCATAAGCACCTCGCCAACCGCCACGGCAAACTTACATCTGAATCTGACACTGGATGCAAAGTTAATATCAGAAGAGCCCCCTGCAAGCATGATGTATATTCTCCGCTTATTTGGCGCTTATGAGTGTTTTTCTCCATAAACATGTATCAGCCGAATCAATCTCATAGAGCCAGGAAGGATGAGAATCCCTCGCCAGTCGTCTAACTAGCTGAAATGAAACCTCTCTCTCACACGAGCACAATGCAATAAAGTGCCGCATGACAAAAGTTTCGATGTATAGGAAATGCGTTACATATATTATATATCTAATTTATGACTAGATGTTTTAATGAAAGCTGCTTTATTATTACACAAGTCCGTGAAAGCTGCAGTGTGAAGACGGAAGAAACAAAAGATCTCATCTGTGTTAGCAGCGGATGTGTTGGAATTACTGACATTTAGGCCGCGAGGAAGGTCGCTGTGAGACCATCAGACAAAAATGACAATATTCTTTGTCATTTTATTGGCAAGGCCAATTCTCAGGTGTCAGTCTGTCCATTTTTTTTGTGAACTAAAACCCACATATGTAAAAAACACATTTAGTTTAAGACTATAGAGCATTTTTCATTGGTTACCCCTGGAATTTATAGCTGAGCGTGTTTATATGTGACGGCTGTGTGTGATTAAGGTATTTCAGGCCCTTCCTTTTAAATTGGCTTCTGTTTTAATCGTATAACAACTCATCTGTTTTGACATCTGTCGAGGTGACAGTAAGACATCTGTCAGGAGTTTGAGGACTTGAGCACCGGAAGAATTTAGTAGCAAATTCACAAACCTGTCGCTTCTGGTGATAGCAAAGACAACTTCATTAAGTTCCTCTTATTGTATACTGTACATATACAAATACGGTAAATTACAGCTACAGGCTAAAGTGATTACAGAGCATGGATCAATGTATTTGCTGAATAATAGTTTCATAGGTTTTCTGTGTGTTACAATATAAGCATCGATCTTTAAAACTGCATTAAACTAATAAATATGACAAACATGACCAGAGAGCACGACCCCTGTGTTTAGAGAACAAAGATTTGACAGTGATCTGACTACCAATTTGTGTCTTCTTTGTTCCCGCTTGTCACGCTGGAAAATGAGGGAACACAAGTCCAATAAAACAAATAAAGATGATGCAAAGAAGAGAAACAATGGTTTTGTTGACATGATAAATATTTTGTCTTTTAGTGCTCACAGCAGTGGGTGTACAGAGCACGGGGCATTGTGAAGTGAAAGGTCTGATCTTAGAACAGAGACTGACAGTTGATACAAAAAGGTGGTTATCCAATTTTGCACCAATCACAGAGGCAGCCTCTCCAACCGTGCCGCATTCAGATGTCAAGAGCACTTTCTAAATGAGAAGGTAATTAAAAATTGAACAAAAGAGCTTTTCAGCGCAGATGGAGGGGTGGGAGGGAGACAGAGTGACGAGGGATAGAAAGTGGTAGAAACTCATGTCAGAAGTGGGAACGTGTGTGTGTATGTGTGTGTGGTTTGTGTGTGTGCATACAGAGAGCGCAGAAGTGAGCAACAGTTCACCCATCATTTATGCTGTACCGACTATAATTAGGACTCATTAATAAAACCAGAGATGAAAAGGTAAGCCAATGTCTATACTACACTTGTGAAAAAGATTTCCAATGATTAAAATTCAGCAGAAAACGACATCTCATACAGCACTTTCTCTCATGCCAATGGATTCCAACTTGCACACACACACACACACACACACACACACACACACACACACACAGCTCGTTAGTGTCTGATTGGCAGTGAAACATCCGGAGAGGTAATTGGCACATTTCTTGTCATTAACGAAGGGAAATTGCCACATGTCAGCTGTCATAAAGAGAGGGAGTCTTCCTGTCTGGTCGAGACAGCCAAGTGACGGAGAGGAAGACAACGTTGAGACAGGCACCTAAACTTAGAGAGGAAGAGGAGAGAGACAAAGAGAGAGACAGGTAGACACAAGACGGGAAGGAGAAGACAGATGAGAGGCAAAGACGGTCAAGACAGAATAAAAAATGGGGGGGGGAAGTGACTTTGTGTGGAAGAGGTGAAGACTCTGAAACGCTGAAGCGAGGGGTAAACAAAGAAGAAAGAGATCCAACTGCGAAGAGACAGCTCTGGAAAATTTCACAGACCAGGATGTACTGGAATGGATTTTATTGAGCAAAATAAGAAAGACAGGTTAGAAGAAGAGATATGGGGAGGTGCTGCACAATGTGGAGGAGGGACATGAATGATAGGGATGGATCAGTGACATGTGTGTGAATGCGTGTCATCACAGACATCACAGACGTACAGAGACCTTGCGCGCGCGGGATTCATTAAGCTGGTCCAACAGACAGAAGGAGTTCAGAAGCAGCTCGTCAGTGTCGTGTCTTCAGCTGCAGCTTCTCGGTGGCGTTGCCTTTCACACACACTGAAACTGGATCCCATTTTAGAGACTGGTCCCTCTGAACTCCGCATTTCTAGACCGGATATCACATAACGGCTCAACAAGGCTCGTTTCATTTTAAGAGGATTCTCCAGATGTGAAGAAACGCAGCTGCTTGTACTCGTAATGAATTTCATGCATTTTCAGCTGATCCTTGTCAAGTTGTAAAGTTGAGAAATTCCATATGACCACAATGTATCAACCAGGTATTTGTTGGTAAACTCTTTACTGTGATGTAATTCCTTTTGAAAGGGGACACTTTATTGTTTGGACCTTTTTATTTAAATTTGACATACTGTATTGCTTACATTATAAAGTTAATATAGCAAACTTATTAGCAAATTGCTGCCTACACATCCAGAAGATCAATATCAATATTCAATTGGAGTCATGCTTGTGTCCACCTGACTAATGTAAGCCCAATATTTACTGTATTATTAAAGCTCTGTTTTTGGTCTCCACCACCTACATGTGATTATTAAAAATATACCTTTTCCTTTTTATTTTCCAGTTTTATATCACATCTCTATATATGTGACATCACATCTGGAACTTTAAACTGGATCAGAGCGTGAAATCAAAGCAGACATGTAGCCCTCAGGTCTTTTGGAGGACCCACCCTGGTGGTCTATGTCCTTTAAAGAATCCAGAACTAGGATGCAGCTTCAGTGTCCTTCAACTGTCACTTTTTCCTCCCACTAGCAAACATAACCGGCTGCAGACCAGGCCATAGCAGCGTGGACGTGGGAGCAACCATTGAGTGGGATGTTTCTGTGCGCTGCCACGGTGTTCCAGCACAACACTAATTAGCCCAATATACAGAACACACTGTATACAATCCACTCACTTGTTAAGAACCAGTGCAAGGCAAAACCATTCATTACTCATCGCTGTTGTGTCAAAAATAGAACGTACAGCAGTATGGGGGTGGAAAGGGGTGTGAAAAGAACATGGAGGGAAAAAAAAAAAAATGTTCCACAGCAATGTGCGAGACTCCTCTACAGAGAAGTCATTATGAGCTCTCCTGCTTCTCCATGTGAAGTCTAACTATGTATCCAAAGTAATTTATTCATTTCCCTTATTTCACAGCATATATCCGCTCCAGGCTTGAATGACACACCTGGAGAATGAGCCACAAAAGGTTACAAACTGATTATTCAATCATTCACTACGAGACAACAAGCCATATGCTCTGCATCTGCCTGCATGACAAGTATGGAAATGTGAGCTGTATAAATATTAACAAGCTGAAATGCACAAAGGTGTGATTTGAGATGCGATTTGAAAAATGTTTGTA